TCTTAGGCATTCCAGCCCTTGGCCCACCACCCAGACACTGGACTATATGAGGAGTGATTATTGAAAACCAATTTAATCAAATATAGGGTCCTTCTAATCCCAAGAGATTAGCCACTTAGCCAGGTCAATCTATAACTCACATTTTACCCAATAATCACACTGATGCCAATCCTTTAGTAACTAAAAACTAAAAGTTTAATAAAAGGAAAGAGTTATAAATTGTTAATAGATCATATACATACAGGTGATTTTTCAGTGTTCATAGATCAGGATTAGAGTAGTGGTGGAATAAACTGCTATCTTGCAAAAGTCTTTCTGGAGTTACCCAAACATACTGGGGGTCATCAGTCCTTGTTTAGAATGTCCTTGTTAGAAATCCTGTCCAGAGAAACAAAGCAGGAATTGAAGACAAAATGGAGAGATCCATTGGATTTTGCATCATTGGACCTTGATTTTAAACAGCTATCAAATGGCAATGATGCTTAGGCACTACCAGCCTTGGCAGATTTGAAATAGTGACCTAAAAGTGAAGCAACCCATATCATTATAATAGTCCACTGAATCCTCAAGTCCCTCTCATCATTTGTTTTTAATTATTCAGCCTCAGAAGGCTTGGTTTAAAACCAAACAAATACATTACAGTATGCTGGAATAAATAGAACAAATTTACTTCTGGAGTGTACAGATAGAAATATGTTAAATTTAAGGCCTAAAGAGTTTATTAGTGTTCTTATAAGAAATCAAAGTTGATCCCTTAAGACTCTATTCAGAAACAATTATGAGTTCTGAAATTCTGTTACAGGCTCCTAGGTCTTCTGCCACTTGGCTGGTAGATAGCAATGTGATCTCTTTTCAGTTACATGTAGACATCAAGGCCATAATAGTCTAGCCAAAGATGAAGAAACACTTAGCGTGTTAACAGCACTAGAGCAAAGGTGAGCATGACAGAGCAGCAGATAACCCCACAATTGCAAATAAACCCCAAAACATTTTGCAAAAATCCAAAACTTCTACAAATGAATCAAATCCCATTAGTAACCAGAAAATGCTCTTTCCTCCCTAAAACTAAAGAGATGAAGATGAAGCTGCCCTAATAGTCTACAATACATTCCCATGAATACATCTGAGTTAAAGGAGGCAGAATCTAGCTCCTGTGACTTCTTTTGTGGGCACTGGGGAGTGGGGAGGGAGAAACAGAAGCTATTGCAAACCACTTCACTGTTGGCTCAATTCAAAACCCACAGATGTCAGTAAGAGAGTCTTTCCATTGATTTCAATGAACTTCAGATCAGGCCTTATAAGAGGTGGTGCTGGCTGGATTAATACTCTGCTAATCATAGAATCATAGAATATCAGAGTTGGAAGGGACCTCAAGAGGTCATCTAGTCCAACCCCCTGCTCAAAGCAGGACCAATTCCCAGCTAAATCATCCCAGCCAGGGCTTTGTCAAGCCGGGCCTTAAAAACCTTTAAGGAAGGAGACCTCCCTAGGTAATGCATTCCAGTGTTTCACCACCCTCCTAGTGAAATAGTTTTTCCTGATATCCAACCTGGACCTCCCCCACTGCAACTTGAGACCATTGCTCCTTGTTCCGTCATCTGCCACCACTGAGAACAGCCGAGCTCCATCCTCTTTGGAACCCCCCTTCAGGTAGTTGAAGGCTGCTATCAAATCCCCCCTCATTCTTCTCTTCTGGAGACTAAACAATCCCAGTTCCCTCAGCCTCTCCTCATAAGTCATGTGCTCCAGACC